ATTTCTATTCTTATACTAGTATATAATATATACTTATAATAAGAAAAGTATATACTAGAGTAGCTATAGGATTCTATTATATATTCTCCTAAATTAAGGCGCCTATTTTATAAGATATAGAAATCTAGTAACCTCCTTAAGAGAAAACTTTTGTAGGCTTAGGAGTAGTAAAAGCCTTCTTATTATCTCTACCTTAGGGTTATTAATAGTAGCTATTGTAGAGATAGCCTTAAGAGGACTTTACTTTTTAAACTAGGATTCTAGCTTAAGAAAAAGCTCTAGGGTAGCCTAAATATAAGAGTAATAGCTATAATAATAAATAAAATACTATAGTAAATCCTCCTCTTTAATAATAGTACTGTTAAGAGATAAGATTATAACTCTATATAGATTAAGAGCTACCTTATTAAAGGCTTTTTATTATTTTTTATTTAGTCTATATATAAAGCTAATAGTATAGACTACTCTCTAGGTATTTATATATTAACGCATCTATATATTACTACTAGAGTAGGTATACTTAATATTATTTTAAAGAGTATACGTAGGTAGATTAGCTTTAGAGCTTTCTCTTATTAAGATTACTCTTTCTAAGATAGAAAGAAGGCTAGTAACCTTTCTTATTTATAAGTTTACTGCTATACTAATCTCTATCTATATCTATCTTATAATATTAAATACGTATACAGCTTACTAGCCTACCTTAGGAAGTAGTTCTAAAGAGCTAAACGCAGTACTACGTATATAATTATTTATAATTAACTCTAGATGCCTTAACTACTTAGAAAGAGTAGAAAGAAAGGCCTATATAGCTATAGCCTTGTTATTATCTTTAAATACTGTAGTAGTTTAACAGATTTAGGATAGGCCTAGGCACTAGAGGTAAAGAATAGCTAGAATAAGGTTACTAAATATATAGAAGTTTATCCTTATAGAAAAGTTATGCTAGAAGGGTCTTATAATTCTTAGAGTATTTTAGTCTGTAAGGAATTTAGTTACGCTTATATAGAGGGATTTTTAAGTATATAGTCTATCCTTTAGTAAATGCTGCAGCCTAGTAGCTATTAAGTAAGTAATCTTCTAGATAGAAAGAATAACCTTAAATATATAGGCCTTATAGCTATTTATACTATCTAGGCTATTATATCTATCTAGGAGATATTTCTAAGTTTCTTAGTACAGCTTATATATAAGATAGTAT